TGTTCTTCAGTATGAACATACTGAACTACAAGATCTCTACGTTGAGCTCACTCTCTAATAAAGTGAAAAGCAAGCTCTAAATGCTTGATTCGTGAATGGAAAACAGGATTACTACTCAATGCAAGAGCAGATAGGTTGTCACTATAGAGGGTAGGGGCCTCAGGAATAAAGACATGCCAGTCTTGAAGAATATGGTGAGTCCAAGCAATATCAGCTGCACAATTCGCTAATGCACGATATTCTACTTTAGTGGAACTTCGAGAAACTGATGATTACTTGCGAGAAGACCAAGAAACAGGATTATTTCCAAGAAACACCATATATCCTATAGTAGATCGACGAGAATTAGGGTCTCCTGCCTAATCTGTGTCACAGTAGCCATTTAAAGAAGTAGATCATGTGGTAAAAGTCAAACCATACTCAAGAATGCCATGTAAATATCAAAGAATACATTTTACCAATCCCATATGAACATCAGTTGGAGCTTGCATGAATTGACACTGAGTAGAAGTCAGATATTGTAGAACTCCAACTATGCTGCGAAACTGAGTAGGATCTGTAAGCAAGGAGCCTTGATTCTTTAAAATAGGGGAATGAGGTTTACATGGAGTCACTGAAGGTTTACAATCCTCCATCCCAGCCCTCTTAAGAAGATGCTTGCAATACTTTGTTTAATGAACAAATAAATCCCCATTAGAACCATAGGTAATCTGTAATCCCAAGAAGTAAGAGTGCCCATATCTTTCATATCAAACACAGTGCTCAAATCATCTATAACCAACTGAATTAAAGAATGGCTCGAACTTGTGATGATAATATCATCAACATATAATAACAGAATCACAACATCAGCACCATATTTCTTGACAAATAAGCCTGGATAAGAATGAGAGGAACAAAAACCCAAGGCTGGTAAGTAGCCAATGAACTTGGTATTCCACGCACATGGAGACTGCTTTAATCCATAAAGAGATTTCTAAAGAGAACACATAAATTTTGGATGTTCAACATCTTCAAAACCAGGAGGTTGATGTATATATAGCTCCTCTTGTAACTCACCGTGCAAAAAGGCATTCTTAACATCTAATTGATGTAGAGGCCATTTGTTGGAAGCAGCCAAACTAAGAAGAATACATACAGTGGTATGATGAACAACATGGCTGAAGGTCTCCTCAAAATCGATATCAGGTTCTTGGCTAAACCCCTGAGCAACGAGCCTTGCCTTATGACATGCAATACTGCCATCTGCAAGAATCCAAGTGCCTTGAATAGTTAATGCCTCAATCTCTTCAACCATGGCATGTTGCCATTCAGGTTTACTATTAGCTTCCTTAAAGAAACAAGGTTCCTTAGCTTTTGTAATATCTGTCAAAATGGTAGCAAAACATTGAAAATTACCAAAGTCTTGTCGAGGTAGATGGCCAGTCTTAGATCGAGTTTGCACAGGATGAGTATTCGAAACCTATAAAGGGTTAGAAGTAGTATAACACTGCTGTGAAAGAGGAAGCAATACTTGGAGTTGATCAGGATCAAGAATGGGATGCATATATGGGTGTTGGGACGAGTCTGTTGTAGAATCTGGCTATGATGAAGTAATAATAGTTTCATGACTAGATGCATCTGAAGAGGAAACAGTTCATGTAGACGGTGATCTTGGAACAAGGATTATAGATGCAGGCATGGAAACAACAATAGCCGGAGTTGGAGAACCAATAGGTGTAGAAGAATCCGACTGAGAAGAGAAAGCGCTAGCATTCTTCATAGGAAATACCAACTCATCATGTATGACATGTCGAGAAAGCACTACCTTTTGATTATGTGGATGAAAACATAACTCATCATGATGGCACACAGACGGATTATGCAGTGAGAGATGACGGAGCCTTGGTAACTGGAAATCGTCTGTGTGTGCCCAAGAATGAAGCCTTAAAGCGAGAAATCATGGAGGAGGCTCATTATTCAGCATACACTATGCACCCAGGTAGCACCAAGATGTATCGGACAATACGTGAGTACTACTCGTGGCCGTATATGAAGGGTGACATAGCTAGGTATGTGAGCAGGTGTTTGATTTTCCAACAGGTGAAGGCGGAGTAATAGAAACCATCTAGGCTTATACAACCACTTTCAATTCCTGAATGGGAGTGGGAACATATCACAATGGATTTCATTGTTAAACTTCCATGCACTCTGAAAGGGCATGACGGAATTTGGGTGATAGTTGACCGACTCACTAAATCCTCTCACTTCCTACCCATTAAAGAAACTTATTCCTTGGTAAAGCTTGCTAAACTCTTTGTGGATGAAATAGTGAGGTTGCATGGAGCACTCATGTCCATTATGTCAGACAGGGATGCTAGATTTACATCTCGTTTTTGGAAGTATTTACAAAAAACTTGGGTACTAAGTTACGATTTAGTACTGCTTTCCACCCACAAACCAATGGACAGTCAGAAGGAACAATTCAGACTTTGGAGGACATGTTGAGAGCATGTGTGTTACAGTTTAAAGATAATTGGGATACTCATCTTGTTTTGATGGAGTTTGCCTAAAATAATAGTTATCATTCGAGCATTGGAATGGCTCCTTATGAGGCTTTATATGGGAGGCAGTGTAGGACTCATATATGTTGGAATGAAGTGGGTAAGAGAAAATTGGAGAAGTTAGAAAGTATTCAAGAAACAACAGAGAAGATAAGAGTGATCAGAGAAAAACTTAAGACTGCGCAAGACCGACAAAAGAGTTATGCAGACAACAGGTCCAAAGATCTAGAATTTGCAGTTGGGGATTGGGTGTTCTTGAAGTTATCTCCTTGAAAAGGTATGATGAGGTTCTGGAAACGTGGGAAGTTAAGCCCTCGTTATATCGGACCTTATGAGATCACAGAATGCATCGGACTCGTTGCCTACAGACTTGCCTTACCTCCAGAATTATCGTGGATTCATGATGTGTTTCATGTGTTTATGATATGGAAGTACATACCCGATCCTTCCCACGTCCTGGAACATCAACCCATGGAGTTGAGAGAATATCTGACTTATGAGGAGCAACTGATGCAAATTCTGGATTGAAAGGAACAAGTGTTACACTCTAGAACCATTCCGGTAGTGAAGGTGTTATGAAGGAGTCAAACCGTTAAGGAAACCACTTGGGAACCCGAGGCACAGATGCAGGCCAAGTACCCTCACCTCTTCGAATGGCATGTACGAAATTTCGAGGATGAAATTTTTATAATGAGGGTAGGTTGTAATGCCCCCAACCCAATTTAATCATTTTATTCAATTTGATTCAATTTATTTAAATTGTGAAATTACAATTTTGCCCTTGGAGTAGGGTCACGTTAATCACTTTTTGATCTATAATGATTTTTGGGATTTAAGTGGTATTGTTGCATAGAGCTCATCGATACAAGTTCATAGACACGTAGTGGGCCCAAATTGAAGTTTTAACGAAGAAGTTAAAGCCAACAGAAGTTCAATGGCACAACCGTAATTTTTTCAAAGTCGGATTTTTTAAAAACCCGATCTGTCCTCTCTCTCCCTTCTCTCTCCTCCCTAGACTCTCTCTCTTCGCGAACCAGGCCAGCCACGTTTGGCCGGCCCTTGCATTGCTCCAGCCATGCCAAGTTGTGGGACCGGTTGGAAAACGACCAGGAAGAGATGGCGAACCCGTCTGGGTTGAAGCCCAGCAACCCCAGGCTATCCCGTCGCCGCGATGAGCTCGGAAATAGTCGCGACTGTTGAAGCTTTCCGTCGTCGTTTCCGGCGACTCCAGCAACCAAATTTGTTGATCCATGTATGCTTTCGCACCCTCTCACCGAGCTCTAGCTATCTATCCAGTTGGGTTGGGGTATTTTTGGATTTTTGAAGCTCAATCAAGAACCTAGGTTTTGACCGGTTTTTGAGTTGATTTTTTGGCAAGCTCCGTCCACTTTTTGACCATGGTCCAAGACCAAAAGTTGCTCCCCTAGTCATTACGATCACATAGGTATAGGTATTGTTGGGTGTTTCGAGAATTTTCCTGTCACTGAAATTTTCTCAAGACACCCACGTTCTGCTGAGACGTGTGGGGGCGCGTGGGCCTTGGGGTAGTGGCCCATTTTGTTCTAAAATTTTCCCCATGTTGTCCCAAGCACGACGGTATGCTCGGATTCGAATTTGGTTATCGTTTGACAGTTGAACAGATTTACGCCTATTAGGCGATATCCGGGTTCGATAGGTTCGGACCGTTAGATCAGCTCCATTTCCAAGTATGTTGTTCTATGTACCTTTATGATCATGTAGGAACTTGCAGATCGAGAATCAAAGTCCCAGATACTCCGAACCAATGATTCTAGGGTTAGGTAAAACGGAAACCTTCCGATTGTGAGATCAAGAGCGATCCAACAGCTCGATCAAGACAAAACTTGCAGAACATGTTTAGTAGACCTTGTTGAACCCGTCGAAACTTTCAGATCGGATATCGGAGGTCGAGGGCCCCGCGGGCCCCGTTGACCAAATTCGAGAAGTTTGACCACTCGGTTGAATGGAAGTATCACCAGCTGACGTGGTGATACAGTACCATTGTATAATTTCTCCACAATAAGGGCGACACAAAGCAAGCAAGACTTGAAAATCTGCAAAATGATTCTTCATAATTTTGGGGCTCTCGCTGCAATCCCGCACCCCAAAATCATGCCATCAAGTTGGCTACTATATCAACCATTTGAAAGTTGATTTTTGCCAAAATTAACACTTAATTTTAATTCAAATTACAGTTAAGTCAATACCAAAGAAGTAAAGCAAAATAAACAAATAAGTTTTCTCATGAATAAAATTGAAAACACACAGGCTAGAGTGTGCTTATCCTATTTCCTAGTTATATATCAATGCGTTGAATGCATTTTTGTAACCTGTTAAAGAATAACCAAAACAATGCTAAAACAAGGGCAAGAAATCTTAAATTACGGGGTCACATAGATACAAACTTGCATAAGTTTATAATGCTCCTTTCAATTTGATCTATATCCAATCTGCTTCTCTCAATTTTTTTGGCAAGAAAGTCTTCGACAGGCTGTCGCCCAAAGATTCAAGATTAGCTTTATTATGGGCATCTTTCATCAAATCTACCTCGTCAACCCATTTCGCATTAGAAATTACAAACTTTTCTCTCCCTATATTTGTTACGTATGTATTCTCATGTGTTTTCCTCGGCCGCCTTTGGCTTTCTGATATCTCGTACTTATCCTTCCCCAAATCAGATGGTCTCAACCCTAACCACATTATATCAGGGGTTATCAATCTGTAATTGTCATGTGCCATTCTTTTTGAGCCCCATCGGTAAGTGGTAAAAATTCGCAGCCCATACACATTGCAGTCCATAAGTCCAAGGATTGGAAGCTTCAATTCGGTTGCAATTGCTTTCAAAATTTTTTTAGTAATATGGCAAGGTTGTCCCCGACCCGTGATTATTATACACTGATAAGCTATATGAAAATTATCACGTACCAATCGCTTCATCACCGTCTGTTTCTCCACCAACAAAATGAAAGCCGCATCACTCTTAATGTCAGAGATATTGTGGTCTGGGATAATTTGCTCCTCGCCCAAGGATGTGCTAACTTTGCCCTTACATACATAAGACAGCTGACCAGCCACTCTACCTTCCGCGTTGCTAGTTATAAGTAAACTCTCTTGGGTGCACTCCAACATGCACGTTAGATTGTCAACCAGTATATCCAAATCATCTTTATTTTTGATTCCATAAGGCTCCAAGTCGTAGAGCAGTGCTCGCTTGTTACACTCAAAGTTCTTCTCACAGTTACTCTTGATCAGTTTAATCATCGACATGAATTTTATGTCCCGAGATTCGAGCCTTTGATTTTTTTCCCGGACTTTCGTTTTAGCTTTCTTTTTCAGCACATAACGATTTGCATCCGTGGAGAAAACTTGGGTACTTTCGGTTCGTACAAGAAAAGGGAAGCATGGGGTTATGCCAGCTTCAATTTTTTTTTCAGCTGCAACAATTAAATCACGGAGACCTTCTATTATTTCTTCACGAGGTCTATATTTGACCTCAATGAACTGCCCGTCAGCCGGTGGAGGATATATTTCTTCAAGGGGCTTTAGGACAGTAACCATAGATGACTTCAGTATTCTAAGATTTTCTAAGATTTGGTCATCCATTGGGTTGTTGGTGATGATGAGAGATATGGCTCTGAAACAGCAGAAGGAGCAAGAAGACTCTGTAAGATGGGAGGAAGGTCAAATTTCTTTTTTCTTTTTCTTGTTTGGTTTTTGGTCGAGAATCACCTCCCAAAATAAATAGAGCACGTAATGCAAGGAAAAAAAAAAGAAGAAGAAAGGGAAACTTGTATGGTCGAAGCTCATAAGGAGGCAAAAGGGGAAATTTGGAAAGCGAGGTTATAAAATAGTAAGAAAAAGAAATAATATTAAAAAATAAAAAGGGAAGTGTAGGATGAGATTTTGCGTGTGGAAAAGTCCAAATAGAGCTGTGGTTTGTTCGGTATAAATGCGTCTCCTCCTCCTTGTTGAGATAGAGATACAGTCCAGAACCCTAAATCAAATCCGATCAGCTGTCTCATAAAATAAAACCCCAGCAGAGCTCTCCTTCCTTCCTCTTACTTTGATCGATGGCGGTCTTTATTGCGGGCGATCTTCGTTACTGTGAATATGGCGGTGGTATGGCTGATTGTGCGAATGACCGTGGACAACAGGTTACTTTGCGCGCTGTCGAAAGCTGCGGTGATGACATGACGAGCAACGCAGAGTATATAATACTGGTGGTTGGGAGTTACGGCGCTTACTTTCGATTGACCAAGGATGAGGTTGACCGTAGGTTTCCTTGTATCATTGTCTACACACCAGACCCCGTGCCTGAAGAGGATACGATCTCCTTGGTAAGGAAGATGAAGGAGCAGTTGGATCTTCCAGTGTTAGCCATTGCCGACAGTAATCCACGATCGGTGAAGAATTTTTCTCTTTTCGTAGCAGGAGGATGCGACATAAAGTGGTTGGGACTCCGGCCTAGTGATGTGGTGGCGTTAAAAATGCATCCACTTTGTATGCGGCCCATGAATAGCAAGGATCTTAAGCTAGCGCAACGTCTCTTGGAAAAAGATGCAGTCGTGAAGCAACGTCCTCAATGGGTTGAGGAGCTCAAGAAAATGGTGGAGATCCGCAGCAAAGTAGAAGTTGACGCATTGTCCCCCTTAGGGAGGAGCTTCTTGTCCAACGTTTATTTTCCAGACAAGATGGAAGCACAAGATTGGATATGACTCACTCACTAGTACTCATATATAGCTAGCTACCTTAATTATTACTAGGTATCTTCTTAATTATTCTGTTTGCCATGCTCAATATACTATTTGTTTTTCTTTTCTGGATTCAACTAATGACGATGATGATGCATATTGTTTGTTAATTTCTCTTT